CAGTATCCGCCCCCCCTTCATCCTCTGCCCCAAAGAACTATGCGCGCACCCTTTTATTAAAAGCCAGAAGTTTTCAAACATCCGAACAACACACATTGGACCAAGTGCGCACGCGCTCGTCGTCGCGCGCGCATGCCGAATTTTGTTTCCAAGAAATCGTAGGTTTCGTAAGGATGTCAAAACCGAGTGTCCCGAAACATATAAATTTCATGAGCTCGCAGTTTGATCTGTCCCAAACAGTTTGCGCTTGGGCGCTTGCGGTTTTTGCTGTTAAAAAGCGTGTTCGACCTTTCTTCAAGTTGCTGCCAAGCGGGCCTCTCGCGCGCGCATGTCGGAGTCGTTCGAACGGCCCTGCGCGCGTGTTGTCGCGAGGACCCCTTGCAACGGGACGAAGTGCACGCGCGCGTCGTTGCGCGCGCATGCGGAAGTCCCTTGACTGGAAAATGTTGAATGTCGCTAGGGTTTCAAAACCGAGTGTTCAGAACACAACACCACACATGGTTTAGCAACAGCATGTTTCAGACTGCCTGCGCTCGCGTTTCCGCGATTCTTTTTCTAGACAACAAACAATAATTGATCGACATGCTCATTCAATTCGGCCAAACGGGCCTTTCGCGCCGCACGCCGAAATCGCTCGCACGCCGTTGCGCGCGTGCTGGGGAGCACGATCCGTCTCAAATGATACCTCGCGGGCCACTCGCGCGCGTGGGCCGCGCGCGCATGTAAACTCACTCCATAGCTTTCATCACCGACGCGAAGACATCGTCATCGTTATCGGCGGGTGTTGTCAACATCGGCGCCGTCATTGGCCTTGCCGTCGTCGTCGGCATCACCGTCACCACCATCGTTGCTCGCATCATCGTGTCAACCATTGTCGGCGTCGCAATGATACCGCGTTCGCCCAATTTGCCGGCTCGCATTGAACTGCCCGTTGGGAAGTGCCCAACGGTCAGCGCCACGGCGGCCACGTCGGTAGCGCCAAATTGTCTGGCCGCCAGCATGCGCGAGCTAGTGCGGTCGCAGAGATGCGCCATCCAATTCCAAATCTTCATCGCAGTCCCCGCGGCACGTGTTTTGCAACCAAATTTGCGGGTGGGTGGGTGGTATGATTACGCGAGCAGTGGAATGGACAAGTCACGGCGAACAAGAATTATATGCACACCATACATCGCATCACGTAGGTTGCACCACACACCTTGCACCACATAGCTTGCATCACACATTGCACCTCATAGGCTGGTCCACATGGAGCGCATCTATTACACAACGGTTGGGGCCCATGCTGGCTTACTACATGCAAGGGTGAGGGGGGTAGAGAGAAAGAGAGAGAGAGAGAGAGAACAAAAAAAAGAGATAGTTCGAGAGAGAGGGGGGAGAGAGAGAGAGAGAGGGGGGAGAGAGAGCGACAGCGGGAGTGAGAGCGGAAGCGGGCAAGACATACAGGGGGGTGCAGTGTGGCATCTGGCCAGGCAGGGCGCAGCCCGACTTCTCCCCGCTGAGCGCCTCGCTGCTGCGCCAGTCCAGCACCCCTGGCCTTTCGGGCGGGGCCGCAGCCGCGCACGCAGCGGAGGCCCGCGCGGTCAGAGCCCGCGTGCCCTGGCGGCCTCCCCGCCCCCGGTCGCCCCCGCTTCCTCCACCTCCCTCCTTTCTCCGCCACCCCGTCCCCTTCCCCCTCGTCCCTCGTCAAGCCTCTCCCTGCTCGTTGTCCGCCGGGTCTCCCTGCCCCCCTCCCGCCTCTCCCGCGGACTGTTTTCACGGGCGCGTGCTCAGTACTCCATGCGAATAGATGTGGTGTGTTCCCCCAGTCGCGACGTGCTGTGTTCCTCCCGTTGGTTCTCGGTGCAGCGCTGGCCTCCTTTCAGTGGTCGGCGTTTCGCTCCCGTCGCTGAAGCTGGCGCTGTCGCCCCAGCGCGGGCCACACTTCTGGATGCGATGCCTCCCTCGCCGTTGTCGCCCCCCCCTCCTCCTCCTCCTCCTCCTCCGCCTCCTCCTCCTCCTCCTCCTCCTGATTCCTCGTCCTCCTTTGCATTCTCCAGCTCATCCGGCTGCCCATCCGCCACCTCTTTCCTCCTCTTGCCCCCCCCCTCTCTCTCTCCCTTCCCCCTCCCTCCTCCAACTCTCCGCTCGAGGAGCGTTGAGCATCTGACCAAGCCAAGTTGGCCAATGAGGCTTCCAGTCGCTGTGCTGAGATTATGAGGGGGTCGCGCACGGGGCAGCGTCGAATGGCTTCTTCTCATTTGGTATCTCTTTCTTTGCTTGTTTGTCTCACTCTCTCTCTCTCTCTCTATCCATCGTTCTCCCCCCCCTCTCCCCCCTCTCTCCCCCTTGTGTTTCCCAGCCTTCCCTTCCCCATCCTCTCCGTCCCCCCCTCCGCCCTCCCCCTCCTCTTCCCTTGGCACCGCTCGGACGCGTGCATTTTTTCTCGGCGAGAACCAGCGAGGACCCTCCAAAAAACACGCACGAAACCGACAAATGCACGGGACATGGACGTCCGAGCGACGGCAAGTTCCCGCCTGGCAGAGAACGCCCCAACGCCCTATAGCGCCTCCCAGGAGAGGCCGCCCCCGTCCCCCAGGGTGGAGGTGGGGGTGGTTCGGGTCGGGGAGGTCCATGAGGTAGTTTTGCTTGGGCGAAACCAAAACCAAGAGGGGGTGGGAGGCTTAGCGGGGTGAGTGGGGCAGCCCACAGGTGCCAGGGGGGAAAAGGGGCCAGGGCCCCCCCCCACCTCCCGCCGCCAGTCTGTACCTCCCCCCCTCTGCCTTTCTCCCCCCCCCAAATCCGACGGCGCGACAACACTGGAACGGCGTGAAACATCACGACCAGAGCCCCAGGCTCTATCTTTCTGCTCCACTTGTGAGGAGACCCGGGGCCCGAAGCCTGGCGACGGCTCGAAACCGCTCAGACGCGCCAGGATCTCATGGTCGTCCTGGGCGAGAAGAGGAGGAGCAGGAGCAGGAGGAGGAGGAGGAGGAGGAGGAGGAGGAGGAGGAGGAGGAGGAGGAGGAGGAGG